CCCCCCAAAAAATCAGTCTGGTCACATGACCAACCCATGTTACAACCCTGATGTTACAACTTCCATGATGAATTGTTATGTCGAGGACTGCCTGTATAACAGCAACATTTCCTGCCTGGAGCGTTTTAAACCGAATGTTTTCTCAAAACTACTTGTTAAGTTTAATAGAAGAGCCCTGTCAAAGGAGTAAAACCATCTAGAAACTGCAAGCATAAAACTTAAGTTAAAAAAGGAGGGGGATTTAAAAAAGGAACTTGGCTAAACGCTGCCGAAAGTTGGGTTATGCCTGGGGAGGCCATCATTTGAAGCTTTTAAACTTCTAATCCTCTCTATAGCCTTTGGAAGGAGAGAAAAAAAAAAGACGACTTAAAACATCTGCAGCAGATATCGGCGAACAACTTCCTCAGCTGTCAAGATGCTGGAGTAATTCAGACAGGAACGCATGAGCTTACAGGCTTGCCTCCTGCCTGACATGTGTTTCAAAACCCCCCCCCCCCCCCCCCAAAAAAAAACAACGCAGATCGCTTACTTTTTTCCTCCTCTTTTTTCTTCTCCGAAGAAGTAGCGTAGCGCCCTTCCTTCATGGCTTTCTGAATAAATTTGTAGTAAGGATTGAGGTAGTGATCAAACCGAAGGAAATCGAATTGGGAGTTACGAGCCTGTTTTGCTTTCAGCATAATCTCAAATTGGACTCCCTGCTTGCAGACGAAATTCGCCGTCCGTTCGATGATGGCGTGCATTTTGGCCGTGGGAGGCTGGGGGGGGGGGGGGTAGAATTAAAAAAAAATTAGGTTCACCTTTTAACAGATGCAGTTCTCCTTTCTTTCTTTTTTCCCCCCACGCTGTGGCAAATGATCTTAACGCTGGCAGACAAAACCAGCTTTGCCACTCCAGAAAGAAAATCAAAAGTGAATCTTTTATATTCCCCCGTTCCGATTACACAGGGCGACGAGATTTTACACGACAAATTGGTAAAAGGCGGGGGTGTAATTTGGCAGCTTAGGATGCCAAAACTTAAAAACGCAGCTCGTCTGTGGATGAGCAGAAAGCCATCAAATCACTTTCCATCTGCCTGGAATTGCAACAATAAAAGTGGGAAACCATAAGCCGTTACTTGTGAACTATGGTCATCCAATAAGCAGCAGGCTATAGAGATAAAACTCTGAAAAGAGCTCCTGAACCTCATGATTGCAAAGCAAGATGAGGTGGGGAAAAAATGTGACCATCAGAATGGTGAAAAGCTCAGGAAAAAAGGGCCAATTTTCTCGTCTTTTTTTTCACGAAAGCCCGCATTACAGTTTCAACTGGGGCTCCTCAGCCATTTTTAGGGATCTTGAAAGCACAGATTTTTCATTGTTGCCAACAGGAAAAGTTGGGGCAATATGTACAACCCCCCCAAAAGGGGAGCATGGAACTTTTATACTAAGCGCTTACGAACAAGGACGTTATCTAAAGAAAACACAGGGAGTTCTTGACTTAGAATAGTTCGTTTAGTGACCGTTTGAAGTTACAACGGCACTGAAAAAAGGGGGTTTAGGCTTAGGACAGTGCTTCACACTTGAGGACCATTGCAGCCTCCCCACAGTCACATGATTGAAATTCCAGGCGCTTGGCAACTGACTCGTATTTACGACGGTTGCAGTGACCCTGGGGAGTCACGTGATCCCCTTTTGCGACCTTCTGGCAAGCAAGGTCAATGAGGAAGCCAGTTTCACTTAACAACCGTGTGGCTAACTTATCAACAGCAGAGATTCACTTAACATCTGGGGCAAGTAAAAGTCGTAACATGGGGCAAAACTCACTTAACAACCATCTTGCTTAGCAACGTACATTTTGGGCTCAATTACGGCTGTAAGTAGTTCTGGTTTGAAGGACTTCGGCGACAGATAGAAATCCGCGATCGTGCGCAGTTTCTGCCTGGGCTCGCCGCTGGAGCGCCCCGAGATGGCTGGTTTCGGGTCTAAGCCACCCTGTAGAGGTGGTGAAGAGGAGGGAGACCGCCAGCAGGGTTGAGGAGAGCCGCATCTCTCCTCCTCAGCTGGCCATTACTCCCTATCCCAAAGGCGGTTGCAGTGGTGGTCAGAAATGGCCACCACAAAGGAGAACTCGACTGGAAAAGAATGTGCAGGAGGAAGATAAGAAGTGAAAGTTTTGGCTGACCGGGTTAAATTGTAAAAGCAACAACTAAGGTACCCTGGAATTTAAACTTACAAAAAATAACATCGCTCCCAAAGAAGAGTCGGAAGCAGCAAAGGAAAGTGAAAAGGGAAAGGTTTGGCTTTTTTTTTCTTCTCTCTCCTTCCCTATACTGACAACTAAGAGACTTAAATAAGAAATCGGAAAAATCCGCTTTGACATCAATAGGCAATTAAGCTGAAAATAAAACAAAATGCCAAAGGGATAATAAAGATTTCTGGACATTAAAAACTTTCTTTTTCATAAGCAGGAAGGGAGAGAAAAAGAATAAGGGCAGGATCTGGAAGAGGGAGGAGACTGCCTGGAATTTAAAAAAATCCACAGTAAAACTTCAACAAGACTTCTAAAAGATACATTTTAACCGAAACTTTGCAACTAAATAGTAACCCCAGGAAGAGAAAGTGAAAAGAAAAGAGAAAAAAAAGAAACAGCTTGCCTGTATTTGGATTATTTGGTGATCTTTGGATTCTCGGTTATTATATTTGAATGACTAAAATCAATTGGGTGGTTGTTTAAAAATTTATACAATGGCACCACTTCTGGATGAATTGAAAATGGAACTTAAAAAGCACAAAGAAGATGCACAAGAAGGGAAGGGTTCTTTTGGCTTCGTTTTTCAATTCTTAGAAATAGAGATCTGGAACTATGAGAAACAACAAGAAATGACTGCAAAACAAGAAGACTGGGACAAAGAAGAAGCCATCTTTAATGAACAAGTAATTCTATGTGGGGAAGAAAAAGGAAAGGGGGGAAAGAGAATGGAGAATTTAAGACTTAAAAAAACAACCAAAGAAAAGAAAAATAATTCGAAAAATAAGTATAATACTGGAAAGCAACAGAAAAGGGGAATACAGAAGAGAGAAATAGAGGTAGAGAGACAAGGGGGCAAAAAGGGGAGAGAGAAGAAGAGAGGGAAGAAGGAAAGGAAAAGAAGTTACAAAGGACCGGAGCAAGATATAGAGAAACAGGACCTATTTAGAGATAATGGGTGAAAATCTAACTGAAAAAGGGATTCTGTAAAGGTACATAAGATTGTATTGTTATATTAGTAATAGAAATAACTTTAGAAAATTGGAAACAACGTATGATTAAAATGAGGGATAAAATAGTTAGTGTAATTTAGTGAAATGTTTGTGAATAAAATAAGTGAAATAAAATAAATGAGAAAATTGAATTAGGAAGGAACTGGAACATTTTAATTAGTTAATGTTTTATAAAATATAAGTGAGGGGGGGGGAATTAACTATGGAAAGCTTATAATTGTTCCCATAGAAGTATGATATTTAATTGAAAAGTAATGTTAAAGACTTTAATGAATATTAATATTAATGATAGAATTGAATTGGAATGTTGTTTTAATTATATACATTTATAATTTTTTCTTTTTTTAAGAATACAGTGTGTATTTTAAGAATGTACCAAGCAGAATCCGAATGGAAGTTATGTTATTATATTGAATGTTACAACTTTAGGGAAAAGATATAAAGGCGTCATACTCCAATCAGTAACCACAGGAGAAATTTTGTTTAATGAGAAAAGATAATAGATAATTGAAACAGGACAGACAAAAAAAATATAAATACAATGATTTGAATTGAGATGAGATAATTAAAATAAAATTGAGAAAATTAAAAGAGGGGAGAAGCTATGCAGAAAATGTAAAATAGTAATAAGATATGGAATAGAATATAAAAATGAGCATGAAACCTGAATTTGTGTCTGTACGAAGAAATGTAACCCGGGATTACGCTACTTTCAAAAAAGATGTTTTATTTGTATTTTTGTTTCTCTTTGAGAAAACTCAAATAAAATTTACCAAAAAAACAAAACAAACTACAATGAAGGAATTTCCACAACGGACCAGGATAAGTAATTACCAACTTCAAGGAGATAACAAGGCACAGTCTGTTGGAAGGACGCCAACCAAGATAACTTCAGCCCAAAATAAAACACGCTTTGCTTCTGGCAACGCTGTGCTTTAACCATCTCTCTTATATCCTATTCTCCCCAGCTGCAACCAATGAGGGGGGTCATGGCTGCTTCCTCTCTCGTAAGCCCACTTGTTTCCTTCTCTGTTCCTCCCTGCGTGTCCTAGAATGAACAGGGGATGGGCCTGGTTCTTTCTCTGACTGCCCAGCCGGCCTCTGCGCTTCCCCAGCCTCCTCCACAACCTCCGGAGCCACACTCCCACTCCCTTGTAGGTTGTTCCTCCTCTCCCTCAGTCTGACTCTAACAAGGGCATGACACATTAAGGCTTTTAGCGGAATAACCTGAGAACTGTTTATTTTGTATTCCCCACTGTCAGTTTTGTTTCCCTTAACTGCATGAAAGGCTTCTTTTAAAATACTATTTATTAAATTTCTACCCCATTTTTTTTTAAAGATATCCAAACAGGGCAACATGCTTTCCTTTCTCCAGTTTTTCTCTGTCAACCTCCAAGTTAGGCTGGCTTGGTCAAGGGAAGCTCACTTGTCTAAAGTCACCTAAGGTGCTTCCATAACTGAAAGCAGATTAATAAACTTGTTCTAATCACTCCTCCACCTGCTGCATCAGGCGAGCCGTTTTAAAGGCAATTGCTAAAATTAGGTGGCAAAATGAACCCACTTCATCCTATGATTTACACAGTGGGACACAAATTCTGCAACGGTTTTATAGATTTCTTACACGAGGGCTCCAATCATGCAGTTAATTTCAAAGGCAACCAGGGAACAATATCGTTTAAAAAGAAAAAGAACATGGAACCACCCATACAAATTTATGTTTCACTTTCAAATACCTGAAGCCTATCTAAGATAGACCCCTGCTTTTGTGATAAGATTAAGGGAAAAATACCAGAGCCATAGCAATAGCATTTAAGACTTATATACCGCTGCACAGTTCTTTACAGCCCTCTCTGAGTGTTTTACAGAGTCAGCACATGGCCTCCAATAATCTGGGTGTGCATTTTACCAACCTCGGAAGGAGGGAAGGCTGAGTCAACCTTGAGCGAGTCAGGATTGAACTGCTGACCATGGGTGGATGGATGGATGGAAGGAGGGAAGGGAGGGAGAGAGGAAGGGCAATAACACTAGCAATAGCCCTTAGACTTATATACCACTTCACAGTGCTTTACTGCCCTCTCTAAGTGTTTTACAGAGTCAACCTACTCTCCCCAACAATCTGGGTCCTCATTTTACCAAACTCAGAAGGATGGAAGGCTGAGTCAACCTTGAGCTGGTCAGGATCGAACTACTGGCAGTTGGCAGAGTTAGTCTGCAACACTGTATTCTAATCACTGCGCCATCACAGCAAATAATTCTGATGTTGTTAGAAGTTTACATAAAAGACATCTTGGGTGGATAACCATGATTTGTTAATAAAGAAGTTTTTTTAAAAAAAAAAAACACCAAAGTCTCTAGTCATAAATATGGGTGCAGCAATGCTAAGGAAATGAATTCCACACATCAGGAAAAAAAACAAAAACAAGCAAAAAAAAAAAAAAACCACCAGAGAAGGGCTAAAGAAGTTTTTTTCCAGTGGACATCTGAAAGCATTTTTGAGATCTAAGGAGTTCTGTGCCCTCCTCATAGAATCTAAACTTCTTTCAGAATTTCAAACTACTGAGTTGCTGTGCACGAATCAAAGGACTTTGATTCATGTTCGCACAGGCCCTGAAATTGCCAAGTGTTAAGTCACAAGAGGAAGACTGCTACCTGTTATTTGATATGGCTTTAATCGTAAAAGGGCTCACGTCTATGCAAATGTACCTCTTATTTCACTCTAAATTATTCCGCAGATGGTGGATTGGAAAGCTGCTGTAACAACACATCTAAAATGCAGTAAGCAGGCAAATGTTGTGCTACCTCTCCAAATCAGGAGAAAGAAACTAGATGATCAAAGGTAATAAAATATGAGTTACAACAGAATGATTCAACTAGGAAGAGCCAGACTGGGAAAATTATTCCAGGGCTGTAAATCTCACCGAGAAACTTCAGACAATCTTCTTAAAATATGGTGAGGGTTTATTCCCCCTCATTAGAGCATTATTATTGCAATTGTTTGCAGTAGGCCAACTATTCTTTTACAATATCAATAGTATCCGACATGGTGCTAAAAGTTGAGAAGTTCACTCTGGGAATCTCTGCCCAGAAATGGTTTACTCCTGGTTTACTCCTAGGTAACTGTAAGTAGGACTACAGTTGACTTACAACAGTTCATGTACTGATTGTTCAAGTTACAATGGCACCGAAAAAAGGCACTTATGACCATTTTTCACACTTCTGACCATCGGAGCATCCCCATTCTTATGTGAGCAAAATTTGGACAGATGCTTGGCAACTGACTCGCATTTACAACAATTGCAGGGTCCTGGGGTTTTGTGATCCGCTTTTGTGACCTTCTGACAAGCAAAATCAATGGGAAAGCCACAGTCACATAACAACCGTGGGACTAGCTTAGCAAGTGCAATGATCCGCTTAACATCTGTGGCAAGAGATGTTGTAAAATGAGGCAAAATTCACTTAACAAATACAGTATTTCGCTTAGTAACAGAAATGCTGGGCTCAATTGCGGTTGTAAGTCGAAGACTACCTAGGCAGCCTAAATCTGCCAATCTCAATGAATGCAATAGCCAGATTAAGATATTCAAGGTGCCTGTGGAACTGAATTTCTGAGCAGACGATGACCAAGGTTTACTGCATTATTCAAAATTACAGGAAGGAAGATGCAGTAGATACTCCACGGTGTTGATCTCTATTAAAAACATACTCACCAGTTCCACATCGGAAGGTACACTCAATCCCAAAGGGGCGATAAAGGGCTCTTCGTTTTCTTCTACGCTTTCGGCCTTGGTTACAGCCACTATAAATTAGGAGAAGATAAACGGCTATCATGCAAAAACCTCTCTTGTATAAACGGAACACAAACAAAACATCAGGTTAAGCTTCCCTTCTTGGCAGTCTATTTCCCCCCCCCCCACCCCCCATCTGCATATTTCCAGGCTGTGTTTGCCGATTTTGTTTCATTGCCTCTGTTTATTGGGTTAAGCCTGCCTCTACTGAAGAAGACAAGCATGGTTTTTTTTTTGGCTAACCTGATGGTATAACTATCACTTAGGAGACCAAGACACATGGCAGGATCAAGCCTTAATGCGTCTCGGCAAAGTTGATGCTGCAGATGTTCCACCTGAGCAACGTACCAGGGAACATCGCTTGAACAACCAGAACCAATTAAAAGAAGAGTCTTTGAAGAGTGTACACCAGCGATTCAGACATTAAGAAGCATTGGAAGGATACAGGCAGCGGGGAGAAATCCATCCAAGGAGCTGCGGATCCAGTTCTACAGGGGAATTATTGAGTCTATCATCTGCACCCCTATAACTGCCTGGTTTGGTTCTGCAACCCAACAGGACAAAGACTTCAGAGGGTAATTAGGACTGCAGAGAAAACAATGGCTACCCACCTGCCTTCAATCGAGGACCTGTATACTGCATGAGTCAAAAAGAGGGCTGTGAAAATATCTACAGACCCCTCACATCCCGGATATAAACTGTTTCAACTCCTACCCTCAAAACGACGCTATAGAGCACTGCACACCAGAACAACTAGACACAAGAACAGTTTTCCCCCCAACGCCATCACTCTGTTAAACAAATAATTCCCTCAACACTGTCCAACTATTACAAAGTCTGCATTACTATTACTATTAATCCTCCCATCCTTTCATCCATCTCCTCCCACTTGTGACTGTATGACTGTAACCTTGTTGCTTGTATCCTATTTATATTGACTGTTTCCCAGTATGATTTGATTGCTCCTTGTACCCTATGAGTATTATTAAGTGTTGTACCTCATGATTCTTGACGAATGTACCTTTTCTTTTATGTACACGGAGAGCATTTGCACCAAAGACAAATTCCCTGTGTATCCAATCACACTTGGCCAATGAAGAATTCTATTCTACTCCATAAAAATCTTGGTTACAACTATCAGACTGCAGACTTTTCCTTTCTCACTGTCAAGAAGATAAATCCTTGATGCATGTATTTACACAACCAGCTTCTGGTTTTCGAGATAATCTGTATCGCCTTGCTAGATTAATTCTCAGGAGTAACTAGGCAGCTCACTGGGATAACGACATTTCATTCATTAATGTCTTTTCTCCGATATCTGGGTGGCTTGTTTTTACAAATCAGTAGCTATAGCTTAGCCACTTAAAATGGACGAAATTGTTCAGCTTGTGTTTTTTTTTAAGTTGGCAGCATTCTTTTTCCCATCCACAAGTTATCCCAAACCCTGGAAAACTGGCCAAAATCACACTGCCTAAATTGATCCATTCTGTACTGAATTTGGATGGGGGAATCTTAGGGTAGGTCTAATTCTTGTTTTATAGAATAGAATACAATGAGAGTTGGAAGGGACCTTGGAGGTCTTTTAGTCCAACCCCCTGCTCAGGCAGGAAACCCTAAACCATTTCAGACAAATGGCTGTCCAGTCTCTTCTTAAAAACCTCCAGTGATGAAGCATTTACAACTTCTGAAGGCAAGCCATTCCACTGATTAACTGTTGTGACTGTCAGGAAATTCCTCCTTAGTTCTAGGTTGCTTCTCTCCTTGATTAGTTTCCACCCATTGCTTCTTGTCCTGCCTTCAGGGGGCTTTGGAGAATAGCTTGACTCCCTCTTCTTTGGGGCAGCCCCTCAAATATTGGAAGACTCCCACCCTGTCACTCCTAGTCCTTCTTTTCATCAAACTAGCCAGGCCCAGTTCCTGCAACTGTTTTTCATATGTTTTAGCATCCAGTCCCCTAATCATCCTGGTTGCTCTTCTCTGCACCCTTTCCAGATTCTCAACATCTTTTTTACATCATGGCGCCCCAAACATCTAGATATCCAAGTAGTCCTCAACTTATAACAGTGTGTTTAGTGATTGTTCAAAATTAAAATGTACTGAAAAAAGTGACTTATGGCCGTTTTTCAAACTTATGACCGTTGCAGCATTCCCATGGTCATGTGATCAAAATTCAGATGCTTGGCAACCGATTCATATTTATGACAGTTGCAGTGCCCCAGGGTCATGTAAATGGTTCTTCTGGCCTTCTGACAAGCAAACTTAATGGGGAAGCCAGATTCACTTAACAAGTGTGTGACTAACTGAACAACTGCAGTTTCACTCAACAACGGTGGCCAGAAAGGTCGTAAAATGGGGCAAAAGTCACTTAACAAATGTCTCACTTAGCAACAGAAACGTTGGGCTCAATTGTGGTCATAAGTCGAGGACTCCTCATGGTAACTCTATAAATTAACTCATTAATTCACAGAGTGATATGCTATATCCTCTTAATATAGTAGTTCATCACTAGATGAACTCTGTGAAAATTAGCTTCCTGTGTTAGATTTTTAAACAACCGCAGGCAAGAACTGGGATCAGAAGAAAATATACAAAGCCACATTAAAACTCAACTTCTCTCTCTTCTCAGTTTCTCCAGAGCAGGTGGATACAGCATCAAAAGGACTAGGGGAAGATTAAGACGGATGTACTTAACAACTAGGGGAGATATTCCGCCCTCACTTAACACCAGACAAAGCAAATACAACCTTCTGATCTATCCCAGAATCAATGGGGTTGTAAATTCTTTTCTACAAATTCTGAACGGTTAATTATTAATGCAACTCCCCGCCCCCCATTTAATCTGGGAGAGCAATCTCAGAATTGTAATTCAATTATGGGGAAGGGAAGGCAAGCCGCAGATTCCACACGAGCGGTGTGTGCTTGTGCACAGGGGATATGTGGGTCAAATTCACTTCTCCCATACAAAGCAAGTCCTAATGGCTCTCAACAATCGTAATGTACAGTTCCAACTAATGCCTACGGCAAACAAATCGGCTCAAATGTAACCATAATTCTGCGGTTGCAGAGGAAGTAGGATTCCATACAGCACTGCCTTTTCCTTACCCCAAAGTCTCCAGGGACTACAAGCCATACAGAAGACAAAGCAATTTAACAAGTGTCTTATTTTTTCCTCCATTTATTTTTAAACATTTCCTGCAATGCTGTTTTTCTACTCCCACTGTCACTGGAAAAAAGAAGAAAAAACTCATGTTTTTAGAGAAGACAGCTAAACTCACTACAGGGGAGTTGTTTTAATGATCTGACCCAAGAACATCTGTTTCTCTTTGGTGGCATCGGAAAACCCGTGTGATCTGACACTACAGTAAGCCTCAATATTACAAGTCTTAAAAGCATTTTGAGTTTCTCAAAGAGCAACGGGCAAACATCGCACATTAATTATGTAGTAGCTACCACACCACCTGTTCTCCCTACACTCAAAACTGGATGGATCTGGGCCACTCGAACTGCCAGAGGAAATGGATCGTCATTAAATTTTAATTTGCCAAGAATCCGGCAAAAAAGGGGAACGTGACGCTTGTAATCAAATATCATTCCTTGCGGTATGACTGCATAAGCAACTGGTGGTGTGTTTTATTTTGTTTATTTATTTAACCAACCACATTGTGCCTATTACACCGCACAGAAAAGCAGTGAACAACACCAGTTACTTGGTAAGCAAAAATGAATTGAAAATTGGACTTTGACACGATGCAGTTGTTGTGGTTCGCTGGCAGCCTGTGCAGACGGCAGCGGAATTGGACAGTGGGGAAGAACGGGGACCAGTCCGGGAGTCTGGGGAGGACTCGGACAAAGGTCCTGCGTTCGATGCAGAGATGGGGCCAGGATCATCTGGGAGTGGGGTGCTAACTCCGGAGCCTTCTGGCAGCAGCGAGGCAGAGGAACAAGGGGAGCGTGTGTGCAGAGCTGCCAGAAGGCAAGAGCAGCTGAGAAAAAAGGGGTAACTTGGGAATAAGGCTTGGAGGTGATTGGCCTTCCCCTAAGGTATAAAGGAAATGCAAAGGTAGAGAAAGCTGTGCAGGAAGCAAAGTCATTCGTTCTGTTCAGATTAAACCTTGAAGCTCTGTGTGGACTTCGTACTTCAGTCGTTATTTTACAGTTAATTTGGCACTTTAGTTGTTGGCAGCAGTTCAAAGGAGAGAAAGGTGGGTGCTTATCTCGAGGGACTGTTTGGGACTCATTAGGGGCTGGGAATGAACATAATTCCCAGCACTGAAATAAAACAAGAGTTGTTTAGACTAAGTGTGTGCTTAATTACGGTCTCAGGAAGCCTTGGTCAGAACAGCAATCTACATCCTGTAAAGCAGGGGTTCCCAAACTGTGGGCCACTGCCCACTACCAACCAGGCCATGTGAGTGGAAGGCTGGCACGTGCCCACAGCCCGACTCACACAAGCGGTAGACACTGGCTCTCACAGCCCCACCTCATGAGGGGCCGGTACTGGGACTCGCAGCCCCAAAGCTCACACAAATCCATCTGTGCATGCCTGTATCTGCACTTGCCCCTCGCACAAAATCACCCCCCTCCCCCAGCGCCAGGTCACCAATGGTGAGAAAGCCACGCCCCAAGTATTTGAAGCAACAAGTAAGACTATTTCAGGGAATCCAAAAAAGACGTAATTAGAATGAGGGAGGTTTCACTTTCTTGGTTGGTTTTAAAAGGATTGAGTAAGCTAATGCACTTGCTTGCATTACTCATTTTCATGCCAGTTGCAAGCTACTTAAATATACATTTTATACTTGAAAGTCAGTTAGGTCTAGTAGTTAAGGCACTACATTAGAAAGCTGGAAATCACAAGTTCTAGTTCCACTTCAGGCATGAAAAGTGGCTGTGTGACTGGGCCAAACACCAGGAGACGGTGAGTTCTAGTTCTGCCTTGGGCATGAAAGCAGGCTGGGTGACTTTGGGCCAATCACCAGGAGACGGTGAGTTCTAGTCCCACCTTAGGCATGAAAGCTGAAAAGACATGTGTTTCCTGTGCAGGTGTCCCCAAACTGAGGAATTCAATGCCCTTAATCAACAGAACTACAAAATCCTAGCCCAGCCAATATGATTTTTTTCCCCAAGATACACAAAGAAAGCGATTTTTCCAGAGAATTTCCCTTACCTTTGGCCTTGAACGGATGTTCTTCTTCCTCAGTGGGTTCTGAGGGATCATAATAATCACTACTGTAGGTAAATCCCACTGCATTATAGGACCCATCTTCAGCCAAAGCTTCGCTCAGCCTCTTATATTCTTCCTCTTGAAGAAAAAAGCAACACACAATTAAAAAAGGGTGGAAACATTTAAATACAGCTAACAACACGTAATTCGCCCTAGCATTCAAACACAAACATTACAGCAAGCTGACCACATGAGTCACGTATGGACACTGATTTTCCGCCCATACAAAAAAAAGGGCAGAAGATATGAGCTTGCTTTCTTCTTTTGGGGGGGATGATGTTGGTTTATATTTTTAAAAAATTTCTCCTGCTGAGATAAGCGTGAATGTCATTTCTACTCAAAACACAGAAGAAAAAAAGAGACATGAACTTCTCGATGATACGATACTGTTAAAGAAGAACAGTTTAAAAGAGCGTGCTCAATGCTCAGCCTGCCCTCAAAACGTGGGCAGCAATTCTGGGTTGCTCTACAAATAAACTATCCTGAGGTCCTCAGATACGCAAAGATGCTCGTTTTTCGAATCCACTGGGTTACTGTCAAAATAATATCAGAAAGAGTGAGTATATAACGAGTGGGAAACAATTACTTTTTTTTCTTTTTCATTAAAAAAAAAGTTATTTTAAGACTATTTTCAAAGGAGCAGGAAAAAGCATTTTTTTTTCAATTCAACGCGTGTGCTATTCTCAGGAAATTGTCCTAGATTTTTATACCTTGCCTTGCCTCTTCCTCAAGCAAGTCTGTACGCAAGGCTAAATACCTCTCTTCATCACAGAGAGCTTCGATTCGAGCTTCCTCTTCAGACAAATGGTAATCTCTGTTCCAGGTGGAATATTCGGCGTCGTATTCGGAAAGATCGTGCAAGTGGCCACGCCCATCATATCTGCAACAGGAAGGGGAGGGTCAACCAAGGGACTTCGGGCTCTGCTTCCTGCCAAATCTATCAATACTTACCACCTATAATGGAAAAGAACCATCTACTGAGTTAAACGAGGGACCCATTAATCTGACTAAACACTCCTTGACCCACTTCCTTTAACAAGCGCAAAAACCAAGCCCCTTTGGGAGTTACTGGTTACAATTAAAAGCGGACTATCTAACCGGCTAAAAAAGAGGAACCAGCTGCCATCCGTCCTTACCGTTTGTGGTTCAACCATTTAATGACCCTGGTCAACATATGAAATGGCTACGTAACAGAGGGAATTTTTATTTTATTTTTTTCCTGCAAAGGCAAATTACTTACATTTACACAAACCCAAGTACATAAATACCTATCCGTAAGAACCAAACGGTGGGCAATTCCTCGCTTCTTTTTCTGCTAGGCTTGCATTCTCAGAAGAAATCTTCACCAAAGAAACTTGGATCCATGGGAGGTAAAATCATGGCTAGGCTCGGCCCCTAGCTATGCGGCTGAGGAAAGAAGTCCTGGGTTATGTGATAGAGAGACATACATACATAGGAACAGCAACATTGGTGCAATTTAAGGAGGTTCTTTGCAGGAAACACTCGCCAATCCCCTGAACTACATATCCATCATTTTATGTTGGGTGTTTAGTTCATTTGGTCACTTTTTTGGGGGGGGGAATTGTCTGTGTTTGTAAGCTGCTTAAGTATTTCTTTGGGCTAATAATTTTTTTTTTTTTTGCATAATCTGTGCAAGGCCGGTAATTAAAAGAGGATTAGATTGAGACTTAAAACTATTTTCTTTGTGGCTGGGAAAATATGATCAGAAGAGAGCAACCAAATCCATTCCACCATTCTGAGAGGAATGTGGAATATGAAGTTTGGTTAAAAGGCTTGTTAGATGGAAACTAATGTAAGGAGGAAACTTTATTATTATTATTTTTTTAAAACAGACTTGTGAATAAGAAGGCATTTTCTTCTAAGATATAATCCTCTCAATGTCATTATTGCTTCCTCGAAAACAAACAATTCCAGAGAGAGCAAGGTAAAAAAAAACCAAAACAACCGCTCTGAAAGAATTATCAATCAATAATTTAGAGCCAGTTTTCTATTGTGACTAAATATATCAAACCTCCTTAATTTACAAATGTAATATAACAAAAGATCATGAGCATATGCATAGCTTGCTTCTACCATTTTTACAGTTTTCAGCTAACTTGCCCTATCAGAAACTGTGAAAGAGCATTGGCTGATATGTGCTATTGTTCTGACTGATGACCATGAAGCTGAATTATCAAATCAATGCTTAATTTACATTTTGATTTGATTCTGGGAAGTAACAAAATATTGCCACATAACCTAATACAAGACATATGTCATGTGTTATCAAGAGTACGTTTTTGTTTTAAATGTTTAAAGAAAATTCATTTTAAGGTTTCGCTAAAACTCATTAACGAGTTTTGTATTGTCGCCGGTAGGATTTGGTTTGGGAATTGGGATCTTGTAAACTTATAAAGCTTGTGTAAAGCAAAAATGGAAGAAGCAAGCTCTAACAATATGCCACACTCTCTTTTCAAACCAAAGCCTTCAGACTCTCTTTGCATTTACACTAGGGGAATTGTGCTAACAACAATGCCGTTTCAGTCCCTTTGGCTATCCATTTTTTCACTAAATGCCAATAGAAAACGCTTTGATCTTCCAAAACAATGAAATTACAACCAGACAAAGAATCACCTGTCAGTTTTAGCTTTAAATAGCAGGAGTCCCCATGCATAACAGCATTACAGGAACCATTATCTAAATTCTGTACCATTTTGTGGTAATAAAACAAGTTTCCATGAAGCTGCAAATACTATTAAACTAAACAGCTGGAACATCTATCTACAAATCAATGAAAACCAAGGTTTTTTGCCAGAAGCCATACAAGCGTAGCCAATACACGCAACAACTTCCATCACGCTAAAAGCAGCATTACTGCCCTAAGTGAATTAGAGTATTAGGAATTCGGAAACTAAGCTTCTACTTTGTCAAACGTCAAATTCCCTGGAGGATTTTAAAACAGTCAGCCACTAAACCTGTTTAACCTTCTCTACAGGACCATTACAAAGATTGCTACTACGCTACTCTAAAGGGGTGGGGGGGAGGAAAACCCACAACAAAACAAAGATTCATGAATGAATTGTAGTAGGGAAGGATGAGAATGCAAGAATCACTTGTACAAGCCATTAACCTTGGACTGTAGCTTTACATCATTTATTGGAAACTCAGGAAGAAAAAAAATGACCTGGGCATAAAGGTCGTACTGCATAACAGATTGTGGGATTAACTTTACCACCCTAGAGAGTATGTTTTTGCTAGGATAAGCATTCGGAGATGCAAATAGTCTTCCTTCTATTTGTAACAGGAGTCATTAAAGACTTTGGTTTGAAAAGAGGGTACTCCAACCCGAGTTTTATATAGGACCCACTCCTTCAAGGTGGAGGGAATGTAAACAACACAGCAATCCTCTGCCAAGGAGGAAGAGAACATGGGGAGGTGAGGAAGGGTCATCTAGATTTATCTGGATCAGATTAAGGCTCAAGACAAAGCTTTCTAGATTTATCTAGATTAGATAAACCTTGGCGCTTTCTAGATTTCCAAAGGTGGCTTTGCTGGAATCTAAAATTTACAATTTTTAAAAATACGTGCTGTGCCTTGGCTAGCTCAATAGGCAGAATTCAAGGGAAGCTCCTAATCTTTTTTTTTTTAAAATCTATTATAGAAGCCTTACCACGCCCAACTTCAGAGGAGTAGCCATGCTGGTCTCTTCCATCAAAAACCAAGCCACTTTAAAAGTAGGTAGATTTCATGGTCTAAAACCATTCAAATATGTGAAGGATTTGTTTTAGTGGGTGGTCTCAGTATTAAAACCACATGTTTTATACATAATTATTGTTCCTTTGAAAGCTGCTTTTACCAAATCAAACTTTCTACATGTGCACCGAAAAACTAGCAGCCTTTTTGGGGAGACATCTCTACCCAAGCATCTCTCATAAACAAACTGACATAGGTAAGTATAGTCCAAAGCATGATTTCTGAAAGCTACTCAGAAATTGTATTTGCAGATTTTTCTTTAAAGTTGAAAGGTGAGTTAGCACTTCCACTAATAAGTTTTTTTTAAGGTTACAGTATTTTATATATACAGTATTATATTTATGCCCTGGTATTACAACCAAGTGATGGCAAGATTTGTGATTCACCAAGAACTCGCAGTAGCTTGAAGTACAGCTTTTCCAACAGCTGGAATTATATGAGATTGTTTACACAAAACCAAACACACTGTACAATATTATGTGGTTACAACAACCTAATAGAGATTTTTTTTTACTGGTAATCTTGGGAATTCCTTCTACAACAGTGAACAAAAATCATTTTTTTTGTTTTTTCCCCCAATTTTATTGGAATTATGGGGCCTTGGCATCCATCTCCAACCTGGACAGATGGGCCAGTGGGAGTTGTAGTCCAGTATGTAGGGATCACCGGGGAGGCGGTGGATGATGGGAATTGTAATTCAACATATCACTGATGTGTTACCTATAGATTTATAACGCGGAACAACTAAATGGAAGTATTCGTTTAGCGTAGGTTATCCAGAAGCAGCCAGGATGGGGGTTGTAATCCAGCATATCGCAAAACCATAAACCACAGGGATGGGAGATGTAGTCCAGCCTGTGTGAAAGCAGCCAGGGATGCTGGACGGGGATGGGAGTTGCAGTCCAGGCTGACTGAAATCAGCCAGGGAAGACAGACGGGGATGGGAGTTGTAGTCCAACCTGCCTGAAATCAGACAGGGACACTGGACACAGATGGGAGCTGTAACCCAGCCTTGTGAAAGCAGCCAGGGAAACCAGACAAGAGATGGGGGAACTGCAGCCCAGCCCTCTTCGCAGGAGAAGGCAGGGATAATAAAAGCCTTTCCTCGCCTGGGCCCTGCTCTCCCGAGTCCTGCTTGGCAGAGGATCCCCGGCAATTCCCCCCCCTCCGCCTTTCCACCCTCCCCTCCCCAGAGAACCACCAGGGCCACAAGGAGGGCGAGAGGACCGTCAGAAGCAGTAGGAGAAGAAGCACAACGAGAGCAGCGATAGTCGGGCGGGGGGGTTGCTGTGCACCGACCTATCGATCATGATGGAGGCCTCGCCCATCCAGGGGATCAGGTGGCGGCCTTGTTCCTGCTGGAGCGCCTTCTCGTCATCGCGGAACAGCTTGCAGGCGTAGCCGAAGACTAGCAGCTCCACGCGGCCACCGACGACCACCCCGCCGCCGCCTCCGCCGCTCCCGCCTTCGCCGCCGCTGGGGCCGCTGGGCGAAGCCGCCGCCGCCGCTAACGGGAGCGTTCCCACCGACCGTCCGGCAGGCGCCGCCGAGGCCTCGGCCCCGCTCGCCCGGCCGGTGTACATGGCCCGAAGAAGTCGCCGCTCGAAAACCGGAGGAGGAGGAGAAGGAAGAGGCCGCCCCGGAGTCGCCTCACCGCGACCCCGCGCCGGGCAGTGGCCGCTGCGGCCTCCCTGACGCCGCCATCCACAGCGAGAAAATGGCGGGCGTCAACTTCCGGTCCGAGGACTGGAACAACCGGAAGTGTTTCGGCGGCCCCGCAGATTCGAAAAAGACCTCCTCGGCCGATTCGTCACGAGCCGAGGCGGTTTGAGAGAAGGGGGGAAAAGCCCGAACCAGGCGTTTGAAGAAGCAAAGCGGTTGTGTGGTTTTGTGTAAAGAACGAAGATGGGAATTCATTGAAGGTGTAAAAAAAAGACGCCGCGGGGAGGGGTGGCGAAAGTGCGATCCCGAATGGGAAGCCCGGAGAGGAGCGAGGAGAGGAAAAGGGGGCGGGGTTTTAGTGAAGGGAGGGGGGAGGGAGAGGAGCAGCATCAAAGGTCTCCCTTGGTTGTAATCTGATAAAGAGTTGTAGATTATGCCATTATTTTGCTCTATTGTGCTAAAAAGACTCGGAATTCAGTCCTTTTCTTTCTTTCTCCCCCTCCCCCCTTTTCTCTAGACTTCCCTTTTTCCTCCCCCTGCTATTTTCAGAAACAGAATAGAGCTGGGACAGGGGTGGGATTCAAATTTTTTAACAACCGATTCTGTGGGCGTGGCTTGGTGGTCATGTGACTGAGTGGACAGGGCTTGGTGGTCATGTGACTGAATGGACATGGCTTGGTGGTCATGTCATTGGCTGCGCGTGGCCAACTCAATATCACACACATTGAAGCGCGCATCTCTTCGCCTGGCCTCTCATGACTGTGGGGATGCTGCAACAGTCGTAAGTGTGAAAAAACGGTCATAAGTCCCTTTTTTCAGTGCCATTGTAACTTTGAATGGTCACTCCACACAAGCAAAGTACCAGTAAAGGAGGAAAAAAAAACCTCCAGAGAAGTTCCTGAGATAGGAATTCTAGTCCTGCCAAGAATGTAATAAGGGTTAACGGAGAGGCAGTTTCTGTAAGCAACACCAGAATGTTTCCTTCCTGCCTTCCTTACAGGATTAGGCCAGTAATTTCTTCTAACAACCGGTTCTCCGAACTGCTTAGAATGTTAACGGTTCTGGCGAATAGGTGCGAACTGGTAGAATCCTACCTCTGGGAAGGGACCTTGGAGATATTCTACTCCAGCCCCTTGCTCAAACAGGAGAACCTATATGATCTCAGAGAAGTAACTGTCATCTATCTATCTATCTATCTATCTATCTATCTATCTATCTATCTATCTATCTATCT